TCTTGCTCCTGCCTTTGATCTAATAAAAAAATAAACATTCTTGATTTGCTTTGCTCAGCTGCTGTCTCAGCCACGAAACCTAGATTTCATCTTGTGTCCTGAACTCCACTCCCATGGTGATTGTACAAATCTGTTGAATTCAATAAATGTATTTAGCCTTATTAAGATTCAGGAAAGCAAATATTATCCTCCAGTGATGCAGCAGATAACAGGAGTTAATAACAAGTATGTGATAAAGATCACAGGATTCCCTGTAAACAAGATGCTGCATTGCACAGAGAGCATCTTGTCTGCATATGTTTCATAAGTAACTAGGCATCCTCATGGGCTTCTTTAGTTATTTTAGAAAGTTGTGTAAACAGTATTATCTGCTTAATGCCCCAAATGATATAATAATTGATATGGAAATGGGGCAAAGCTCAATAGATTGTAATGCAACTCTCCATGGACTCTTCGAGATGATCTGCCCAGATTTTATTTAAATTTTTTCCTCACTTGTATGCAGCCTGTAGTTTGTTAGACATGCTAGGCAGATGTTGGTTGGATAGCATTTTTTACCTTTTTTCCTGTGAACAAGTTAAATGTGAATTTATACTTGGATTGGTATCTGTTGTAGGTATACTTCAGAGCTGTCAATAGCAATTGGAAATGTAAGACCATACTGCAAAGCTCTGATGTACTGTGTGCTGTTGTTGAGAAAAGTGGATAGTAACAGATTGCTGATGTATATGGCACTCTGTAGTGGTTGTGGGATTCTTCTTGTTTAGGCTACAAGAGCACTGCAAAGAAATTCCAAAGTTCTAAGAAATACTTAAAACTGGAAAAAATGTGTTTGAAAATATTTTTTTGTTCCTTCTTGCAGGAAATGATACTGAAGTCTGTAGGTTTTTTATATATTCTAAAAATCTCTTAGGCAAGACTTTTGCTTTTTTATTTTTATAAAGTAGTGATTAAAATATGTGTGCTATTCAACCGCTTATCAGTTCTTCAAATATGTTAATTAGTCAGAAATGTTTTCTCTTGCATCGACACCTCCGGCAGTTTTCTCAGGGTTATGACAGCAGGCACAGGTGAAGCCATGCTGGGGCTGCTCATGCAAGAAGTACTTAACATACAACTGTGGCATGTCTCTTTTTGCAAAGCTGGCATTCCAGTTGTGCTTCAGTATTTCTTCAGGCAGTCAGTGTGGTCTCCAGACCACTGCATTAGACTTGGGGAAAAATCACTTCTCTTACTTGTACCACAATTCCCCTAGCTGTAAAATGGGGAAAATTATATGTTGGAATGTACTGCTAAGATATATATAAAATATAGCTTTATAGAAGAAGACAAAGTAATATTGGTATTCAAAAGAAATCTGAGATTTGATTAGTTGATCAAAGTCACTCAGTGGGCTTGGGACACTGCCAAGAGCAGAGCTTGGGTCTCAAGACCTTCAGCTGTAGAGTGACTCCAGCCACCTTCCAGGTATGGAAAATGGCTGATGAAGGTTAGTGATGCAAACAGGACAAATGCCAGCAAATGTTTGCTTCTATCTATTTCATTAAACTGAAGAAATATTTTGTAAAAAGGACACATTGTCTGGGGAGACAGGAAAAGGATGAAATGGATTTATTTATAAAACATGCTTTTATCACTCAAGTACTGTACAGCAGTGAAGAGTGGAAGTAAAATGGCTGTGGGGAAGCAGGAACCACCTGTTTAGTTAATTTATGTTATGCTCTTGCATATGTGGCAGTGACAAAGTTTCCTTCTTCCAAAATAGTCTCACTGATGCAGTCCTTTTCCCTTTCATTGACCTGGCACCTGGAGGGGTGAGATGTGTGCTCTGGGGACAGCACATGAAGCCTTTAGAGACTGCACAAACATTTCAGCCATTGCTTCTCCAGTGGCTTCTCAACAGGAGGTAAGGGAGGGACACAGATAAGCAAGACAGGTAGATGTGCATGAAAATGGCAGCTATTTCTCTTCTGAGCCATTCTCAAAACATTATTCAGAGGAAAACTAAGATGAGGTGGCTGGTGTAGAGCACCCATTCCATTGTTATACATACATCTTATGGAAATACAGCAACACTGCTTATTGCTGCAAAGTTAATGGGAGAGATGCTAATCTTGTCTGACTGCCTGCAGGAAATCTGTCCTACCTGCCTGCATATTTTTGACTGTGGAAGACAAAGCCAGAGAGAACCTGGTCCTTGCAGGCTTCTTACCAGTGGAAGACAGTATGGGAGCAGGAATGCCATTACAATTTAGTTTAACAACATGTAACTTCTATTACATGTAATAACATGTAACTCACTTTGTTGTAAAAATCAGCTATAAAAGGATATGCAGAGGTTGACTCTTGAAATGCGAGTAAAAGGAAGCAGAATTTTTTTGGCAGGTCCAACCACTCTGCGGTTCTACAGCTAAGAAATCAGAATTGGCTGATTTTCTGTGGGGCTGATCAGCCAGCTTGGTCTCATCACAGTATTAGAGTAAAATGTAATATAGAGATAATTTTGTAACTTCTCTAGTTTATTAAGAAATAACACCCAATTCTAAAATAAGACTGCAGTGGTAGAGAAACTGCAATCCACAATAAGCACACAGGTTTGGCAACTCAATCCCTCTAAAATTCTCTTCTGCCTCAAGATATCCTTGAGAATTGGAATAGGCTTGTATAAATCAAAGTTGCCTCTATCCTAATGCACATTTCCAAGTTAAATGCTGGACTCATTCAGTCAAGTTTCACAACTGTCCTGTTTCATGAGTACTGAGAATCTGAATCAGGAAACTTTATGGGGAAGTACTGTGGGAGGAAACACGGGCACAGAGATTCAGTTCCTTGTGCCGAGTTCAGACGAAGTCTGTGGCAGAGTGCCAGGTGAAACCCAGGCACAGTGCGGCTACAAAAGGCATGCCAGGGGGAACACAGAACTGCCAAAACAAGGTTCCCTCCACACCTTTCTGTTTAGAAAAAGACGTCACCCAGGATTGCTTTTAAAGCTCTGCCTAGGGTTAGGGTTCCGTGTAGGGTTAGGGTTCCAAAAACCACACAGCCTCCAGCTCTAGGCACACTGCAGCTACAACAGGCATGCCAAGGGGAACACAGAACTGCCACAACATGGCTCCTGGCACAGCTTGTTCCTTTGGGCCAGCCCTTGTCCAAGGGTACTTTACTGCTCTGCCTAGGGTTAGGGTTGAACCTAGGGTTAGGGATCCAAAAACCACAAAGCCCAGAGCTCCAAGCACACTGCTGTTGCAAAAGGCATGTCAGGGGGAACACAGAACTGCCAAAATATAACCCTAACCCTAAACCGAATTCTAACGTTCACCCTAATGGCCAAATTCTAACCCTAACCCTAAAGGATGAACCCTAATTGCCTAACCCTAACCATTACCCTAACAGGCTAATCCTAATGGCCTAACCTTAATCCTAAATCTAACTCTAATGGCCTAACCCTAATCCTCACTCTAACCCTCACTGTAAACCTAACCATAACCCTAACCCAACCCTAACCCTAACCTGCCAATGCTCACCATGGTGTGTGTCTACACACACAGATGTTCCCTTTCAAATGCCTCCTGCCTGAAATGTATCACAGATTTAATATACACACCAGCAATGAAAGCAGCAATCACCAGATGGCTGCTGTTGGGAGGGCACTTTCTGTGCATCACCAGTCTGAGCTCCTTGGCAATATCAGCAAGGACACCAAACTGAGTCTAGTCTCAAGCAGGCAGCTCTCACATGCCTTTAAAGAGGCAGGTAGGTATTCATGGACCATCCCATAGAAACTGAGGAGGATCCAAGAAAACTGTGCCTAGGATGCTGCACACAAGGATGGGAGGGGGCAAAAGGGAGGAAATAATTTTTTTCCACAATCTGTTGTGGTGTTACAGCAGTGTGAAGGCTATGCTTCCTTTCTGCCTGAACTTGAAACTGCCTGAGTGTGATACAGACCCCAGACAAGCTTCTTTCTTCACTGCTTTGTTACTGATTCACACATCCTCTAAGAAGGTGTTACCTTTGATCCGTTTTAACTGTCCTGCAATATGCTATGTTGTGGGAAGATTAGCCCTTAAGTCTCTTAATTAATTACTCTTAATTCTATTACTTCTGTATAACTAGCAAAAATAATAATTGTCAAATAACAAATAATCCATGTATTTTGTGTTTAATGCCTAGCTGTTAATAGCTACTTAAAATATTAACATTCCACCCTAGACAGTCCTATTATTCTGTATTTTTTTCAAGACATCCTTCTTGCAACAATACACAACAAAGTTTTTCAGCTTCAGTGCACTTCCAATTAGCTGAATCTTTCATGTTTCGGGGAGAAAAATTAATACAGTTATTCCTAAGTTATAGACAATGTCATTGTGGTGCAGGTAGTATCTGTAACAGAAGTACAGGGCTGAAAGTACTCAGTGGACTAAGTTCAGCAGAGAATAATGACCCATGCTAGATAATGACAAGCTTATTACAATATTTATGAGAATTAATTTACCAGATTGTTAAAATAAGTGTATGGGAGGGACCTTAAAGTGGAGGGAAATTACCAAGGCAGACAAGCAAACAAGAAGGTGCCTTCAATGCAGAAAAGTCAAAAAACTGCGTTAGTTCCAAAAAGAGATGAAGTGTATTCCCTCATCTGTGATGGAGTGACCATCACTTGTATTTTTTGCTCCCACCCAAGTTGTTTGTAAACCTACCCCGTCCTCCTGCCCACAGCAGCTGAATTCTGCAAGTGGGAACAGGACCAACCCCATCATCCTCAGAAATGGCAAAGTGCCATTTGACCAGGTCCCAGCTGGAGAAGCAAAAAACTACATTCAGTGTCTGAGGATGTACCCTTCAGATTGCATCTACTGAGAAGATATTTTTCTTCCTGAAAGAAAGTAAGTAGTTTCCGCATGAACAAGTAATGACTGATTCTGTAGATTTTCAAGTACTTTATTAATTGTATTTTCTTATTCTGACTTTTCACACAAAACAAGCTATGTTCAAAATAACCAAATCATAAATTATTCTTTTCTTGCACTTTTCCTTCAAGAAACCTTAAAGTGCTCCTCGGGAACTCCTCATATCTGTACAGTAGATGTAATATATTCCAACATAGATGTTAATGTCCCTTTGAACATAGAGGATATTTAATTTTTTTCCTATTAATACAATGCTATGCAACACAATCAGGTAATTTCCAGTTCCCATTCTTTCAAGAGTTTGCTCTTTCATTAAATTTTTCTTGTGTTCACCGTACGTACTCCCGAACTGCGAGTTCTTTCAGGGTAAAAACCCGTATGGGATCTTTCTTTGTCTTCCATTCTTCCAGTTTTTCTTGCAAAGACAGAAAATCCTTGCCAAGCTCATATGCCAGAGTGATCATTGTTTCTAACAGTGGCACATAATACCTGTGGCTGGTATGCACACAAAGGCGTGACAGAGCTTTTTCTCCAAATTCAAAGGCACTTGCTGGGTTTTCCAGGTCCTTGTGGCACACCACGATGGCACAGAGAGTAGGGACAATTGCAACAGGGTTCCCTCTCGTCAGCCTTTCCTGCAGCCCAATGACTTCTAAAAGGATTTCCAAAGCTTTGGTGTACTGGCCACCCCGCAGGCAACCATATGCTTCCTGAAGCTCCGGCCTTGTTAAAAAGTCAATAAATTTTTTTGATCTTCTGATGTATTTCATAGAATATAGGTGTCTCAGGTAGTCCTTGAAGGCTAATTTTCTTTCATTGATTATTTCTTCTGTGAAGTTTCCTGTTAGAGCTTTTTTGGGAAAGGTTACATCTTCCAGTTCTTCGCTAAATTCTTCCAGCAGTTTTCTGTGCAGTTTCTCAAAATCTGAATAACGCCGCTCAATTACAGACTTGTTGCTGTCAAAACTCCCTGTTTGCAAAATGATGATTTTATACATCTAAACACAATCAAAGAGAAAAAATAAGCATGAGAAGGGACCATTCTAGCCCCAGTGCAGTCAGATTTTGTCTGCAAAGCAGACTTTGTTCTTGTTCAGTCCTCTGGCTGGAACACTCCAGCACCAATTTTCTCTGTGTAATCTCATGTACTCCTATGGCAGTGCTGCTAAATCAGTTACTGCCTGGGATTACAGTGCATGCTCAGTGTAGACCTGAAAGATCTGCAGCCATCAAACTAAAAATTCCCACCTCCTGCTGTTCTGTACTTCTGTCACCAGGCTTAGGCTTAGCACGTAAGTAAGTTGTACATAAAGAGAGCGCTAACAGATCCCATCCTGCAAGGTGCTGGGAAAGCAAACTAGCAGCAGACTGAAGCACATGAAAACACTCACAAAGCATTTCTGTACTTTGTTTATAACAGCCATGGCTGCTGTAATCAATCATCTTCAGTGAACTGAATGGATTTCCCAGACTTAATATTGAATGTAATCTATTTTACATCAATCATAATATTCAGAAATGCCCTATGTATAAGACATTCCTAGGGATTTGGGGTGTTAGTAATGCTGTGAAGGAAGAGGGAGTATTTGGCAATATATCTGGTGTGTGCAATAATAAGATGGAGCAACTCCAAATACTTTTCTCTCTTCTAAATCATTGTCCTGTATTCAAACTAAATTCACATTTAAATAATACCAAAAAAGTAACATTTCTACAGCAATCTGCTCTCCAAAGCCCTTCACTAGCAGCTAACAGCTGTGCTGCCCCACTTAACAGTACTCAAGAGCACATCTTCCTCAGCTCTTCACTAGCCCCAAAAAGACCATAATAAATGTGGTATTGGGCAAATAGCTGCAAAATTCTGTGCTGCGTTGTCCAAATAATCTCTTCTGGTTCTGATCCAAGCACAGTGATGCTGAGGAAGGGCCAGTCCCTAACGTGTGTAAACCATGGTAGCTCCACAGAGCTCAGTTTAACTGTGTCACCAGACACCAGCTAAGGACATAGACTGCTGACCTCCTGGGTGATGACCATGTTCACTTCCAACTTCACCCTGTGCCCATTAAATTACACAGGAGCTGGAGGGGTTTTGCTCATGCCAGTTATTTTCTCTGCTGCTGTTGAAGGCTGCAAACCAGCACTCGCACTATGCCTGTCTGATTCTCTTCCTTGTTTTTCCTTAAAGAGAAATTCTCTCTTTTAATCTTTGTAAATGATCTTTACAGGCACTTCTTGAAAGGCTTCTAAATTTGAGCTGACTTCTCTGATCTCTTTTCATTTGTAAGCACTGTGACATTTTCCTATACTTTGTCCTGCTCCCTGCTGAAAAGTGTATATATGCCTGATGCATTCTAAAACAATCATAAGAGCATTTTTTTTAAGCTATCATTTTATCAAGGGCAGCTAAGTGAATAATTTACAAGTACTTGCTTTTTTATTTGTGGAGCGTGCATGAAAAAGGTAAGAAGTAGCACTTAATTAGACTGTCATTCAAATTGGCTCAGTTTTGTTGTAATGTAAATCTTTTTGCCTAGGCTTGTGACTTATGACAAAGTTTATTTGCACATATGCTGATACTCTTGCTCTCATGCAGTTGCACAAAATCAGTTTCTAGCTATTCAGAAGCTGAATATTCAGGGGTGTATGCAAGAAAAGCAGCAACTAAGTAGGTGTGTCCAGTATGCAACAAGATGTAAGGACAGTCTCCAAAACATTTACGTGCTTCAAATTCTACCAAACCGGATCACCCAGTATCAGCAATGCTGATTCTTGGCATTTTTCATCTACAGATCTCACAGACTGTAGCAAACAAGGAAATCATCTCTGTCTGAATTTCACAGGAGTACTAAAAGGCACCCGGTCTAGATCAGTCCTTCTGAAGGCCAGGAGCAGAATCAGAAATAAAAGCTTTGTACAGTCAGTACTGGGAAAAAGATACAAAAATCCAACCTACTTGGTTGTTCCCACTCCTCATACTCATGTTTCATCTTAAAAATATGACAGAAACATGCCACCTAAGGGAGCTCCAAGAAGGGAAGGGGAACAATCCCAAGTGATCTAGCTGGAGAATGTCTTAGACTTTGTCAACATCAAAGAATTCTGCACTTGTGCTAAGAGAAAACTCTGATGTGGAAGTTATACAAATTCACTGCAGCTGCTACAGCTGGCTAGCTCAGTGGAAGTGTAAATATACAGATATTTTTATATTTGTGTGAATTTCCTTAATGTTGACAAAACTCTGTGTTTTAAGGATACTCAAGATACTAATTTATTTGATAACACTTTTCCACTGCAGCAGATTTTGTGAACTGACTGTCAGAGGGCTTTTTAAGATGCAGATTCCACCAGGCAGGCCCATACAATCAGTGAGAACAGGTTCTATTCAGTGTGATCCTGGCTTGCAAAACTTGGCCCTTGCTGAGGCTTTCATGTAGTGAGGCCTGCTGTGTGCTGTGCAGACCCCTGCAGAGTGAATAAAAATTAATGATCTTCTTACATATTCATTTCTTAACTTACCACATATTTAGATAAGTGGTGCTCTACAATTCTGGTTGATGGGATTTCAAAAAGGAGTTTGATTTGTTTGCGCTGGCGTTTCTCATTCCTCCAGTATTCCTGAAGCTCCTTAGTGGTCATAGAAGAGTTGGGACTTAGGGTTGCACTGGAATCTAAAATCAATATATTTAGTATTTCAGATTATATTCTTTGCATTTGGAAAGAAAATTCTTATGTATCTATTGTGAAAGGACAGTCTAGATATTCTGTTGCTGTAACAGCATGACCTTAAGACTGATAAAAGAAGTGATTTCACTGCTAACAGACAGGAACAGATGCTCTGAGGAAAGCTATTAGGGTCTGACATTTTGAAAGAAAAGATATCACCTGCAGAATACAAAATTGTAGAGAACCTACTGCCATGAAATATTGTATGTCAAGGTTGTAACCTAGGGCACAATCTGAGCAGGAGATTTTCTTCATCGTCCCAGAAGTAGCCCTAAGAAACACTGACCGAGTCTTTTGAGACAGATGTTTCTCCAGGCTTCTTTGTTGCTAAATGGATGAGATAATACAATGCAGCTGCAAATTCAAACATATTTTCAAAAAACTGACCCTACTCAAATATGGGGTTTGTGCAGTAATAGGAGAAAGCTGAGAAAACATGAATCTCCTAAGCTCAAAGTTGGATAACCAGCCCAGCTGAAGGAGGATTTCCCACATTCTCTCTCTTTTTTTTTTTCTGTAGCTGAACTGATGGCAGAGTTCAGCTATATATATGTTATATATATATGTACACATACACCTATTATATACACAAATATATATATATATAATCTATAAATTTTTTACATATATAATATATATATTTTTATATACCTCCCTCCTTTCCCGTCTCTCTCTTCCCACAGTCACATATATATATATATATATATGTATTTGTGCACATACAAAAAATATGGGACAGCTGGTTGGAGAGTTTGCTTAAAGGAGAATTTGATGTAAAATTTAAAATATTTCTCTGTCTTTGAAATCTACTGACAATAGGTTTCATCAGGTGCCATATAGGCTAGATAAGTGGATAAAATAAATGGAATATTTGTATCTCAGTGCCCACACTGGTCCCAGTTTCTAATCAAGGATGTCTTTGTCAAGGCAGTCAGCTGAAGTCAGTCTGCAGTGTATGGAGCCAATGGAGGTGAAGGAGCACAACTGAAGGGTAGGAGAACAGCCTGATGAAGAAACAGACTTGTAAAGGCACCACAGTACTCTTTCAGTGGCCTCCCTTTTACATGTTCTTAATCATTTGACCATACAATTTCAATTATCAAGGCCTTGGGGGTTTGGCTCAAAGCATCTATTTCCTAGGAGAGGAGGTTTTCATGACATCCTTCCATATTTAAAATCTTGATGAGATTATATACATCTAAGGTTATACATAACATTTTATTTAATAACAGATGAGAGTAATCTTAGGCACGGTGAACGTTCAGTGCTGCCTCTTTAAAGGCATGTGAGAGCTGCCTGCTTGAGACTAGACTCAGTTTGGTGTCCTTGCTGATATTGCCAAGGAGCTCAGACTGGTGATGCACAGAAAGTGCCCTCCCAACAGCAGCCATCTGGTGATTGCTGCTTTCATTGCTGGTGTGTAAATTAAATACATTTCAGGCAGGAGGCATTTGAAAGGAAACATCTGTGTGTGTATACACACACCAGGATGAGCATGGGTTCCACTATTGCTACATTATTACTACAAGTGCACTCAAGGCTTTTTTCAGTGGAGGATGGCAGTACAGCTTTGAACCACTGCTGTGATAAATAAGCAAAGTTTTCAATACAAAATATTAACTCCATAAACAGCTAGATGAAAAATAAAATTAAAGGATAGCATCAACCTTGTGTCTCATCCTTTTCTGGGTCTTCTTTTCTCACTTCACATGAAATTTCAGCTTTGGGTTGATTTTCTTCTTTATCAGACGGATTTGTGGTAGAAGATGTAGTAATTCTGCTTACAGCTTCCAACAGTTCCCTTTCTGCTGTGCAGTGTGAATCTTGGTCCATTGCTTGCTATCACTGAAAGATTACAAACCCCATGACATTTCTTAGTACCACACCTTTAGGGGATCCACTTTGGCAATCTTATTGTATTATTCATTCTGTTGTTTTCATTCTATTCATTCAGCTTTCATTCTATGTTCTCTGTGAACTTGTATCAGTGCAACTTCATAAAAACTAAAGTAATAAATAGAAATATCTACACAGCAAGAACCATGCCTATTACTCTTACCAGTGAAAGTGTTTGGATATTTTTCTGTCAGCTTAAAATCAAATAAGAAAACCATAAGAAGTTATGTTGAATAATATTAGATGGAGAACTCAGTTATTACCTATGAGAATTTTATCACGAACTTCAGTATGGGCAGATTTCTTCCTCCTTGTATTTTGCCCAGAAGCTTGCAAGTATGAACTCAGATGAACCAAAAATCTTTGAGACAATTAGTATAACCAGCAGCCTGGTTCTCTTAACACTGCTAAAATTTATTGTTCTCAGGACTCAAAAACTTATTGTCTGTTCTTAATCACAACCTGTAGGACAAAATAGGGTGAAAATGTCTAAAATAGTAGAAAGTTTTTATCATATTTCACAGTTTTAGGTTCCCTCCAGAGACTTGTCTCTGTACTGTAAAAACAAAACAACTGACTTTTACAATGGCTTGATGGAAGGAGATGTGAATTTTTTTATTATTGTACAGGAAGTATTCTCCTTTTACTTGTTCTTTTACCCTAGATATACTGTGCTACTTTAGATCTGTTCTGGTAGGACCACTGTTTTACCATGTACTGACAAAATGCTTTACACAATATACTCCTACTCCATAGACCATGCTGGCCATTCTGCTGCTTACATATCTCCACACTTAAGGATGTTCTTTGATTTGTTGGGGTTTTTTTAAACGAACAAACAAAACTTGCCTGTTACACCACTGCGTTACACGAGAAGCTGAAAAAGTTCTAAGAACATCCTAACAACTTTGCCAAGGTGCCGTGTTCCCTCAGCATGAGCAAAGTGTTGCTCACAGTTCAGCCAACAAGTGAAAACCAAGAAGCTCTGCTGAAATAATGCCCAAGCAGTAGTTATTAAGCAATGGGAGGTTTTAGGAGGGTTGTTGCTACATATCATTTTGCCTCTACTCGTCTACCACACAGTTATGCAATGCTGGATATGGAGGTGAGGAAACTCCTTCAGCAGACCTATTGATTTCTGGCAAGTTGCAAGGCTATAAAAAGAAAAGAAATTACTTTCCTCACTGGAAATAATGGAAGTGCAAACCACTTTCCTCTAACAGAAACCTATCCTTTGGCTGGCTTGCACAAGTAAGTGTACAGATGTTGTCATCCTCCTTAATGAAAGCATCATGGAAACTCTTATTCTTGGAGTGAAAGTTCTTACTGCTCTTCAGTCCTCCTTATGATTTGCTTTTTGAACATGAAGAATAGCCACTTTCTTATTGTTTAACTGCTCAGTCTTTTGAAAATCACAAAAGAGCATATATTACAAGAACATATATAGTAGATTAAATGAGGAATCTGACAAAGGCCAGCTTTAAATGACAACTTTTTTCTTGGATATGAGTTGCAATCACTTTATAAGAAAAATTGTGTTTACATTGAAAAAAAAACTTTGTATGTGCATAGTTTTATATTCATAAATACATATATGAGCATATATGTGCATATATACATGTACACATACATACATATTTATTTATTTATTTATATGTACTGGTTGAAAACATTGTTTACCAGGATACATAACACACCTGTAAACAGAAGAATGCAGAAGTGGGTGTTATGGCACACAAGTTTTCTACCTTGAATATATGTACCTTAAATACTAACAGCACTTCATGCAAACAGTTTCATTTTCACAGCTAAAACTCAAGGCAAGCTCTTATAGCTAAGCTACTAATTATTTTTCCGTATTTAAACCAAAAAAAAAAAAAAAAAAAGGAAAAAAAAAAGCAAACCAGCAAAAGCCTCCTGCAATACAGGATATTATCTAGAGCAGACACTCACCCTGTTCCGTGTCGGGGTAAGTGCTGCTGCAGCTCCCGCAGTGTTTTATGCAGCACGAACCCCCAAGCGCCCGGAGCACCCACCAGCAAAGCGCGGAGTTCCTTCGCCGGTGGCACACAGCGAGCGAGGCACGCCTGGCCTTTGCAGAGCGCGCAAAAAGATGTCTGTGCCTTCTTCGAGCGGGCACATTCCGTGTCTTACAAAAAGGAAGGAAGAAGGCTCGATGAAATGACACTTCCCCGTGCCATTGGCCCGATTGCGCACGAAGCCTCCGGTGCCTCCCCCGGCCGGGGCCGCCCCGCTCCGGGGCTGCGGGGCTGCGGGGCTCCGGGCCGGCGCCCCCGGGCACCCCAGAGACCTCAACAGCAAGCGACACGGCCAACACAGCCCATGCAAACTACCCTGCATGGGCAGAGAAACAAAAAAACACTCTTAGCAAGAGGGAGATTAGGGCGAGAAAAGAGCTAAATACGTAAAATGTACTTATGCGGAAAAATAATGCCCCTTGGGATGTCTTTAAAATATAGGCTTAACATCCAGTTCAGGAAAAAAAATGCACATGGCATCACAACAAACAGCCTTGCTCTGCGTAAACTTGCACTTCTGACAGAAATCCTGATTCTGCATTGTGCAGAACACAAGATTAATTTCAAATATCTGCTCAATTAAATTTCAAATAGGAGCATTATCATATCTGACGTGATTACTAAACTTGAGATGGGCTTAGGAGTGTGCCTAAAATTAATCCTATATGTGCTTAAATTCATTGTTGAACTGAGGACAAGATAAAGAAGAATAATGTGTTAATCCACATGTCCTTTGGCCAAGATGCTTCCTTTTGGAGTTCAGTTTGGAAATTTGCTTTAAACTATCAGGATAGCTATTCCTGGGGTAAATAATATGGGCTATCTTTTTTTAGTAAGGTAAGTTTCCCCTCTGCCAAAGTTCAATCACTGAAAAACCAAGCAATTTTAATGCAGCACAAATGTAGGAGGCAAGCATCCAAAGGACCACATGGATGCTGCCCCACACATTCCTTTAGAACAATTTAAAATAATGTAAAATCAGGGCCATAAACTGCTAATACTTCTCTTCTGCTTTATTTGCAGCATAAAACAATGCCAACTTCAACTTGGACTTAGTCTAAATGTAGTTTTGCCCAAATAGCTGTCAGAATGATGAAAAATCCCTTGCATGCAGCTACACTCACACTGGCAAAAGCCCTGGAGTAGATGCTGTTATATTGGCAGAGTCCTTCAGCCACTTTAGCACATTCCATGAGAAAAGTGATTTAAGTTACACCCGAAAAGAAATCTGTGCTTGCCAATTCAGCTCTAAGGTGTAGCTATACCAGCCAACTCTTTTAAGTGCAGACAAGGCATGGGTTCCTGGCACTACTCTCATTCCTTTAAAGCTAGATTTATGGGTTTGGTTACAATTGTGAGCAAAAACCGAGGGGGATTTCAGTGTATTTCACTCATGCTGACAGTTTACAGATGTATCTAAGCTTTGAATTTGGAAACAGTTAATTTATGTGTTGCCAAAAAGCAGTGTATTATTTTGTGATGTTTAGTGCTATTGTCCTGCTCTTGGTAAAGCGAAAAGAAAAGAAAAAAGTACATTTTTCAGTTTATTAAATGTGACCTCTACTTTCAATTATTTTAGAATAAGTAAGTTCTAGTAAAATTAACCTGGATGATTAAAATAAATGAAATGTGTTAGTATATTTACCAGTCCAGGGTGCTCCACAAGACTTCTGCATGCCTCAATAGAGGCAGCTATTATGGTCACAGCTGGCTCCTGAGGGTGTTCCACACGCCCAGGAGCTGTGACATCCACAGCAGGTTTGGCAGGCTGCAACTCCTCATCTTGCTCCCAGGAGCTCACATTTGGTCCAAACAGCACCTTGTCCTTCACTGGGACCCAGTGCTGTAAGTCTGGCAGCATTTTACTTTCCTAAGTGTCTACTTGATTAGCACGTGCAAAACACACTGCAGTACACAGTGTTGTTTGCTAGCAGAATGCACAACTAATATTTCTTTCTATATTCTCAGCTATGCTTCCAAATATTATGTAAAGGTTAAGAAGTTGAAAAGAAAATTTTTACAACGGCAGCAAAGCATTCTGAGAGACAGGCAAGTGCACTTACACCATCAATTTACCTTAATACTCATAAAACTGTGGTAAATTTTTATGGAAAAGCATTTTCTGTCATTGTCAGGGATGGAAAAGGCATCCTGATGCAGTGGTTCACTCCGAGTTTGTATTCTGTGAAAGCACTTTGTCAGACATAAAGACCAGGGTGTTACAATGCACCTACCAGGGGATATGGGAAATGTGTGCTCTGCAATAGTGCAGGAGCAAGGCAAGGTTAAAATCATAACAGTGCAGTGCATAAAGGTGGCTGTCATGTGAGTTATGCCCTCCATATCCATTTAAGATGAAATGACTCATTTTAAGAAGGAAGCTGGAAAGTTTATGGCCAAAAATTGGTGAGCAGCCAAGAGATGAGCCAGCACTGTGATGCCATGTAAAGGATGCCTGCCACTCTTGAAAGGCTGTGTGCTTTTGATAGTTAAAGAACCAGAAGGGACTGCTGCCCCAGTGTCAAACATTCTGCCTTGATTTATACCCTGATCTGGGCAGTTCCCATTTTCCCAATCAGACAGATTACAGAAACCCTGACATACAATATGTAACCATAGACTACAAAGCTGGTATCAGCTGGAAAATTTGGGAGCTAAATCAATGTCATATATGAACTGCAGTTTTCTGGCAGATTTTATTGTCATTTTATCACAGGCAGAGCAAGGTCTAATTCTTGTTAAAGAATGTGGCTGTAATATCCCTCTTACAAAATACTCTTCACCTTCTGTCCTAAGAAGTGCAGCTTCAGGCAACTTTACAGTCTGTGCTGTTTTTCCATCTCAAGCCCCAAACTATTTAGCTAAACATGGTTTATTTTACTAAATCATTCGTTAGAACAGTAGATAATGACAAAAAGCCCTAAATAAACAAGGGCAGGCAGAAATACCTGACATATTTATCCAAGTCCCTTTTTATCATATAACTAATATTTAGAAAACGTAGTCATATTGTCTTTGATGCTTCTACAAGAACCTTTCCTCTCTGTTTTTTTTTTTTTTTTAAATGCAGCTGGATAAATACCAACCATTTCCATGTTTGAATTAGCAGAAAAAAAATCATCTGTTTTGATGAATATTCTGTACTTTTGGGGCAATGCTGTGATAAATGAATACCATACTCCTATCCTGGCACAGCACAAAACTCACTTCCATGCTATGCCATAATATGTAATTGCACAGTGTTGTGTCATTTGGAAGTGGAATTTGTTTACCATACTTCATTATTACAAAACATATCTCTCTTAACAAGAGTGTAGTTTAAAGAAATCATTTGCTGTTTAATGGCAAATGTCTCGTGCTGGTGTTACTGACAGGGTTTTCAACATAAAAGAGACAAAGCAGGCCCATTGTACACTGCCAAAGTCCTGTTATCACTTTACAACTCCTTCATACTTCTGAAGGAGTACGAGGGAGCTTTAGAGTAAACAGCAGTCCTGGCCTGCCTTTCATCTGTGGTCTGGCAGTGACACGGAGCTGTGTGCAAGCCCAGTGGGTCAATAGGATGTTAACTTGGGTTAATGTCACAAGCACTGTTCTGTCTGCAGAATGACAGGCTTTGTGAATGGGCCATGTGGGTCATTTTTCCTGCTGGATTCACAGAGGGTTAAGTGCATAATTACATGGAATACAGAGTATTTTTAAATATTTGGTTCTGAGTTATTAGGAACACTAAATGTAGTCATTCCTATCAAGCAGTTTGATATTTTATACTCATAATGTGTTTGTCCCCTTTTCTCCTCACATATAATTATGGTGTACTTTGGCTAATACTTACAGTCCTGTTCCACATGTGATTTATTTATACCCAATGTGTAAACATAATGAAATTTGGGATAACAGGACTTAGAGCAGACACGTAAATGCAGTTTGCAGTAGCACAAAAGGCAGCTCCACAAGCAGAGGCTGCAGCAGCTGTGTGTAGATAGCCACCTTGAGGATCAGCAGAGCATGACTCGGGGTTACTTTGTGCTCTTCTGCAAAATGAGGAAGGCATAAATCTTAGTATATTGCTTAGTATAATATATTTTCAATGTTATTTATTGTTTAAAAATGAAATGAGACTTTCAAATGCAATTTTTCTTTTAAGGAACTAGGGGGAATGATTAGTGTGACATCTCATTGTTTCCTCAGGAGTTCCCAAAAAACTCCTGCTGGTGTCTGTGTCCTTTCCATCTTACACATACCACACAAATAAAACCCCCAAATAAAACCTCCCATCTTCCTAGAAAAAACCTAGGCAGTGAGTGAGTCAGAGTGCTTCAGAGCTTAGACATGGGCACTCCAGCCTGATCTGGGGCTGCACTGGATCTGCTTACTGACTGTCTCTGGATTCTGGAGAGCTATGGAGAACAGGATAACGGGAACAGCCTTTAGCTAATGTTGAACTGCACGTCACTAAAGTACATAAAAACATATATTAAGAGAATGCTACAGATGCTAAGAAACCAGGGAAGTGTTTATTTATATGCCAATATTACTGTAACCTCCTGAGGTACATGATCAAATGCTGTATCCTTAAAAGATGCTTCTTTGTAGGAAATCCACTTCTAAAAGTGCAAAACTTTAAAAATATTTTTAAATTAAATTTAAAGCACTAGTTTAGAATCCTACATGAATAAAATCGTATCTTCTCTAAAATAACTGTTTTTTTTTAAATGCTGAATGTGTGAATGGAGTCTTTAAACCTAACTGTCCTGTTGAGAAACTCCCTTCTATAGCAGAGCTCATTCTCTCATTCATAATTTAAGCAGAACTCACTATCTATAAACAGCAGCAGACAGAATAAGTGGAACAGTGGAAGTTGCTAAGTGGATAGAACAGCGCAGCATTCAGATGACAGGCACAATCAAAAGTAGGTCGGGTAAAGAGGAACCACATTTGGCTTTTATTACATGAAATATTCAGTAGCATTACTTCAATTTCTTGGGAGTAAAAATATTTCAGAAGCGGGTATTGAAGCCAGAGCGAAGCCTGCCATCTGCGAGCCGGCTCTGGGGCCGGAGCGGAACCCCGCCAAGCTCC